CAGGTGGATTCCTATCCACTGCACCACCAGGGAAGTCTCAATGCCTTGACTTCTATTTGGCTCCTTATCCCTGTTTGGAATCAGATTCAAAAAGGAGGAAGGAAAAGGGGCCTCCCTGGTGACTCAGATGGTAAAGAATCTGCCTGCAATGCAAGAGACCTAGGTTCAAACCCTGGGTCAAGAAGATCTCCCAAAGAAGGGAATGGCAACCTGCTCCAGTATTCTTGCCTGGAAAAATCCCATGGATAGAGGAGGCTTGTGGGCTACAGTCTATGAGGTCGCAAAGAGTTAGACACAACTGAGTGACTAGGCGCGCGCACACACACACTTCCACTACAGGGGATACATGATTCCTGGTCATGGAACTAAGATCCCACATGCCACTTGGCACAGTCAAAAAAATTAAAATAAGTAAACAAAAGAGGAAGAAAGAGCAATAGGCACTTCCAGATTACCAACATTTTTATTTCATTCAGTTACAGGTTTTGTGTTATACAAAGTTGTTTTACTGTTTCATTTTTCACTGGGCTTTTTTGGTTGAGTTGGATTCATAATACTTATTTTATCTTTTTTATATTATTTGAAAAATTATTTATTTACTTTTGGCTGTGATAGGTCTTCCTTGCTCAATAATAGATTTATTACAATTGTTGGTGTTTTGGTATGCTAAAATTAGCTCATCAGCTATTCCTGTGAAAACAAATTATCAGGAAGAAATGAAACAACAAAAAACCTTCTTTGAAATGTCATGCTTTAACATTCTCCTTTGGAAATAAACTACAAAGAAAATATGAAACATCTAAAAAGCAAAGAATCCATCTTTCAAAATGATTTTTAAAAGGTAAGCTGTCACAGTTGAGAAGATTCTTGCTCACACAACCTTGAACATTTATTTTTGAGGGGAAGGGAAAACTGCTGATTGTAGGAGTTTTCAGAAGTTACAAAAAGGGACTCTGATAATTACTTTGTGCTATTTGTGAATTCAAGAGATAAATATGTCCATCTTTATTAAGGAAATAACACAAGAAGCCTTTTCATGCCCTGTGGAGAAGGAGTCCTCATCCTAAATCTGACAGAAATGAATATAAATTACAGCACTCACACCTTCAGAACTGCATCACATTAAACATATTTTTTTTTCTGATTTGATTTCTATGTTAATATTATCCATATTGTTTTTACCTTTGTGAGTTCTTTACACATTTCAAAAAAATTTTTTTCGTATTTCAAAAGTAATGTATTCAACACAGAAAAATAGGCATACATCCTTTCAGTCTTTTAAAATATACTTATAAGAATATATTTTTCTTTTCTTATTTGGTTGCATGGCATTTGAGATCTTAGTTCCCCCATCAGGGATCAAACCCATGCACCCTTCATCAGAAGTGTGGAGTCTTAACTTCTGGATCACCAGGGAAGTCCCAAGAATGTATCTTTCTTTGAACAAAAGTGGAATCAAACAGTACATGCTGCTTTGTCATCTACTTCCCCCCTACACAGGCACTTACCACATTCTATGAACATCAGAGGGTTTTCTTTTGTGATATTTCTTCCCTTAGAAACCAAAGACCATGCATATGGGGAAAAAAAGTAAATTCCTTACATTGGAAAACTGTGACTATAAGCATATTTCAGTCAGTTTGAAAATACTCTAAGGAGCATCATTTATAAGTATTGTTTTATATTAAATAACTAAAAAATGATCACCAGTTTAACAGTACCAAGAATCCCTGACAAGTTAAGCACTGATGATTATCCCACTCAGTGAGAGAAGCTGTTGAGGCCTGGACCAGAGTGCATGGATTTGCCTTTTTCCATCTGAGACAGAAACCAGAAAGGGCCTTCTTATGTGGCATCAAATGCAGAGGTGTGGAAATTATGGAGAGGGAAAGGCACTTCAGAAGGATGTAGCAGAGCAAATAGAGGGAAACAGGATTTGGGGTTCACAGGAAAGAAATCGTGTCTTCTGAATGCAAGCTTGCCAGATTGTTTCCTCCCAAAACAACTACAGAACCAAACCTATGGGGATGCTGTTAAGTCTGCCACAGTGAGGAAGGAGAATTTGAGGACCACTGTCATGGCAATCTGGGGATCAGAAAGCTCACCAATGCAGAGTGAGGCATTTAAGTGGTTTGACATGTAAGAAGTTAAGCGGTCTAGAAAATTTTGAGAGAGCTGGGGTCTAAAACACCCCTCTTCTTTCATACCAAACTAATCCAAAGCATAGGCAAATGCCAACAGTAATACAAGAATCTCTATGTACAGTATTCAGATATCTGTTCCTCAACTTATTGTAATCAGGATTCTACTTCAATCTGTCCCTGAAATGGCTCTTGTTGAAGTCACTACTGACCCCCATAGAGACAAAACCAATAGATACTTTTTACTTCTCATTTGCTTGGCCTCCCTGAAAGGCTCACCCTGTTACCACTCCCTCATCTTGAAACTCTTTCCCTTTATTTTGTGTGTAGTTTTCAATTTCAGGAAATAAAATCTTCTCCAGCTATTTTGTATATAATTATAAAATCCCTGAAAGAGCAGAAGTGGCAATCTCTAGCTGCTCCCAGAACACCAAACTGACTGGCCAGGGAGGCTGCTGCCTCTGCCACGTCAGGAAGGTGCATTCAGGGAACAGCCACCAGGCTGTTGGGCTCAGGAGCAGTGAACTGACACTGTGTCCTCGGAACTTGGAAGCTGCCACAGTTACATCTCAGTATCCATGACTGGACAATGCAGCACTATTATGGGGAAACCCAATTTTTTCATGATTTTGCTTGCCTAAGCAAGAAGGTCTTCCCTTATTTCCATCTTCCAAATCTCACATCAATGCATCTAACTGATGGCCTTAATCCAGAAATCCATCTGCCAGGGTGTCTGGAAATAGTTTTCAGCTTTCCAACCCCTGTAGTGTACTACAGGGAGAGGGGAACAGACACAGAGCTCATCGTGTCCACATGGTTCTCCTCCTACCTGGTTACCAGGCCGTTAAGTGTTGGCTTACCTGCCCTCTTCTTTCCTTATTCTACCTCCTCCTCCTTAGTGATTGATTCTTCATCTCAACACATAAACCAGAAAACAGTCCTATGACTTCTGCCTCCCACTTAACTTGTACTCTCATCTATTTTCCATCCTCACTACGTTAGTCCAGTCCACAATATCTTGGCTAGATTAGTGCAGTAATCTTATGACTGATCTCCCCACACTATATACCTAAATATATCCCCAGGGATAATTGGTATAGAAAAGTTCTCAACCCAAGTGAAAACATCTTTCCTTTTGGACATTCAGAAATGTGCCTTTGACTGATGGCATAACAGGCATTTATTGATAGTTTGTGGGGACAAGGGATGTGTTTTGAAAAATGCCAGGTGGTACTGCATAACCAAGAGCTATCTGGTCCCAAATGCCATTTAGTGCTCTTTCTAGAAACAAGGGTTCATAAATGCAGGATTGAATGGACACTAAATTTCAAAAAATGTTGGAAACCAAAACAAATTGTAAACTTTAAATTTCACTGAGTAGGTATAGCCAGCAAAATCACTACCATCTTTTGCCACCATTGTTTTATGAAAGAAGATAATTAATTTTTTTAAATGTGTATACAAATGTTTATTTTGGCTTTAATCATAATAACCAAACACTGAAAACAAATGTCCACTGGTGAAAGGACATTCAAATGGTCCACTCAAATGTCCAACTTGTGAAAGGATCAAGTGTGGTATATATATATACAAGATAATACCACTCACCCATACAAAGGGAGAAACAGATATATACAATAACATGGATGACTCTCAGATACATTAAACTGACCAAAATTAACCAGGAGGAAAAGAGTGCCTACTGGTTCTTCTTGTGTGAACGACTCTCCCTATATGAAACACTAGAAATACATATCTAATTAACAGTGACAGAAAGAACTGACTATCTGGGGCCAGGAACAGGGAGAACTGACTGGGAAGGGACACATGGGGACCTTTAGGTGTGTTAGAAATTATATCTTAATTGTGATGGTTGTGGTTACATAGGTTATACACTTGTCAAAACTCATCGGGTATAAATTTAAAGTGCATGATTTTACTGTAAATAAATCATTTTTCAATAAAGTTGATTTTTAAAAAGTTAAATATAACCACCCTCATGCCCTTTAGGATGGCACCTTTTTTTTTTTTAAAGAAAATAAAAAATGGTGGTGAGGATATACAGAGAAATTGGAACACTTGTGTACTGGTGCTAGGAATGTAATATAGTGTAACAGCTATGGAAAACAGTAGGGTGATTCCTCAAAAACTCAAAAATAGAATTACCATATGATCCAACAATTCCACTTCTGGGAATATATCCAAAAAATTGAAAGCAGGAACTTGAAGAGAGATTTGAACACCATTATTCATTGCAGCATTATTCATAATAGCTAAAATATGGAAATAATCCAAGTGTCTACCAACAGACGAACAGATAAAATATGGAATATGGAATATTATTCAGCCTTAAAAAGGATGGAATTCTGACACACATGATACAACAAGGACAGACGTTGAGGACATTATGCTAAGTGAACTTTCAGTTCAGTTCAGTTCAGTCGCTCAGTTGTGAACTTAGACAGTTACAAAAGGACAAATACTGCACAAGTCCACTTATATGAGGTACCTAGAGTAATCTAAGTCATGGAGATATACCTGCCTCCTGAAAAATCTGTATGCAGGTCAAGAAGCAACAGTCAGAACCAGACACGGAACAACAGACTGGTTCCAAATTGGGAAAGGAGTACGTCAAGGCTGTATATTGTTACCCTGCTAATTTAACTTATATGCAGAGTACATCATGCAAAGTGCTGGGCTGGATGAAGCACAAGCTGGAATCAAGATTGCCAGGAGAAATATCAATAACCTCAGATATGCAGATGACACCACCCTTATGGCAGAAAGCAAAGAAGAACTAAAGAGCCTCTTGATGAAAGTGAAAGAGGAGAGAGGAAAAGTTGGCTTAAAACTCAACATTCAAAAAATGAAGATCATGACATCCAGTCCCATCACTTTATGGCAAATAGATGGGAAAACAATGGAAACAGCGAGAGACTTTACTTTTTGAGGCTCCAAAATCACTGCATATGGTGACTGCAGCCATAAAATTAAAAGACGCTTGCTACTTCGAAGAAAAGCTATGAGCATCCTAGACAGCATACTAAAAAGCAGAGACATTACTTTGCCAACAAAGGTCCATCTAGCCAAGGCTGTGGTTTTTCCAGTAGTCATGTATGGATGTGACAGTTGGACTATAAAGAAAGCTGAGCACCGAAGAATTGATGCTTTTGAGCTGTGGTGTTGGAGAAGACTCTTGAGAGTCCCTTGGACTGCAAGGAGATCCAACCAGTCCATCCTAAAGGAGATCAGTCATGGGTGTTCATTGGAAGGACTGATGAAGCTGAAACTCCGGTATTTTGGCCACCTGATGCCAAGAGCTGACTCATCTGAAAAGACCCTGATGTTGGGAAAGATTGAAGGCAGGAGGAGAAGGGGACGACAGAAGATGAGATGGTTTGATGGCATCACCAACTGGATGGACATGAGTTTGAGTAGGCTCTGGGAGTTGGTGATGGACAGGGAAGCCTGGCGTGTTGTAGTCCATAAGGTCACAAAGAGTCAGACAAGACTTAGCAGCTGAACTGAAGTCATAGAGATAGAAAGTAGAATGGCAGTTGGCAGAGGCTGGGAGAGGGGAGAAAGGGGGGATTGTTTAATGGGTACATAGTTTCAGTTTGGCAAAATGAAAAAGTTCTGGAGATGGATGGTGGTGATGACAAGGTTGCACAACAATGTGAATGTACTTATGCCACTGAAAAGCACATATAAAAATGGTTAAGATTTTTTTTTAAGTTAAATACAAATAAACAAGTCAGCATGTGCTCCTTCCAGATAAATGGGCCTATCTGTGTTCAATAGCTCAATTCTTTGGTTCTTTTCCTAAGACTATGTCAGAAGAGAAAAATAACACTAGAATAATATGAAAACTAATGTCCTTATTTGCCTGAAATATTAAAATAGAGACTATTTTGAACTTACATCTTTGTTCTGTGTTATGCATTTCATTTGCTTGCACTTCCCTTTGTAGGCCTTGAATAGCTTCCTGACTTCTTCGGACACAGTATTGACATTGTGGAATGACTGAGAGAGATTGTAAGCTGTTTTCAGGTGACATGGCTCATAAAACCCAGAGAGGCAAGAAACTTGACATAAAGACACTATTTATGCAAAAATTATCAAACTTCAGCATATGTGAAATAACCATGGTAATTTTATTACCATGAGTAACATAGTAACATAGTTTTGATGTCTGTCCCTAAAAATAAAGATATTTTATATGTGTTCATACATGTTCTGAAATATGTGTACCATTAACACAAATGCACTAAAAAATTTAAAGTGTCAAAAGTTTTGATCAAAATCAATCAAGTTAGCTCACTGCTTAACTACATTAAATTGGAGATAGTAATATTTTGTCTCACCTCTTGAGAAACAAAAGCTTTAGCCTAAAATTCCTCAACAGAGATTTTGTGCAATTGTGAAATGGTTATTAAGTTATTCTGAGCCATAGATTTAACACTGCTCTAACATCTCCAAGTTCCTTTGGAATGTTTATATGCTTAAAAAAAGAAAACTTAAATTGACTTATTATATTTCACTTTAGAAAAAACAAGTGCCACACCATTTTAAAGAAATCATAGATTATATAAATGTAAGCAGTGAAACTGATTAGGACACCAGAAATTAATTCTCCAAAGCTCAGGAATCATGGCCTTAGAAGAAACTAAGTGTTCTTTTTACTCCTACTTCTACCATTCTAACTTCTCCTCATCTCAAACTTTCAGTTATTTCTCAGATGAGGTCAATAAAGAGTCATGGAAGGATTTCTAACTAGCCAAGATGTCAAAATCCTTATTGATTAATCGAAATCACCAGGCAATACTAAACCATGAGTCAACATTGTTCTGCTCTGGTCTGTGCTGAGGTGATAACATGAAGATGATTAATGAAACTGCTGGACCTACCGCCTCAGGTAACTGTGGAGGAAAAGGTTTGCATTTTACAGGTGCCAGAGATAGACTTATGCTTTGGGGATGCCATTTGTAGACCAAGGTGATGGCAAAGCATCCAGAAAGCTTCACGGTAATGAACTTATTCACCTAGAGGCAATAGAAAGGATTGTTAATTCCTGCCCAGAATTCTCATTCTCATAATTCAGGTGGAAATCATAGACATTTACATGATGCACAGAAGGAAATTTCAGACCAATATTCACAAACAGCTTCAGTCTAATTCCATTAAGTCAGAAGTGAGGTTTAGGTTTTGGTACTGTCAATTCATTGGTGCTTGATTTATTGAGAGAAGCAAGAGAAGTGGGGAGAAATTATTTGGAATTAATGTAATTATGTCTTATAGAGAAAGATTCATTTTTGATTGCAAAAATGCTGGGTCAGTTTACAACTACTTCTGAGACCTAATTCAAGTCTAAGACACAAACGATCTCGCCCATAAGACACACTTGGTAACATCTGATTCCCTTGATGTTGAGAAAAGTAATTTATGCCTGCCAAGTCCTTAGAAGTTTTATGAACCTTAATATTATTGTGAAACTTATTAAAGTTGGAGGTATTTTATAAGTGAGATGGAAAGCTAATGACAAATAAATAACTTCTTAAAGCTCAAATGAATATCTGCAGATTTGTAGAGCAAATTTAAAAGGCTTACTACAGATGAAGTGTCCTAATTGAGTCAGCTTCATTAAGCATGCAAGGACTTTTATTTGGTTACAAGTTATACTCCCTTGCTTCCTGAAGGCTGCCAGCTGGAGGAATTTGAATTGAATAATTTATCCCATTGCAACCCTGAATTTTTTAGAAAAAAAGAGTAAGGAAACCCTGATTCCTGACTGTCAGTAACCTTTCACATACAGGCTTACCTGGTACAGTTTCTTTACCTGCTCTTTACTTCCCTAACTCTCTAGAACTAAGCAGAACCTCTTTAAAAATAACCGCCTAAATAGTATATATAAGGTGATACCATGGATTTTGTAAATTGTGTAGGACAGACCCGGAGGTACTTTTCATGCCTGTCCAGTAGAAATACAATATGAGCCACATAAATAATATAAAATTTTCTAATAGTCACATTAAAAAGAGTAAAAAGCAGGTGGAATTAATTTTAATAATATTTTATAGCCAAATATATTCAAGAATCAAAGTTTAAGTGTATAATGATGTAAAAATGATTCGTGATATTTTACATTCTCTCATTTGTATTAAGTCTTTGAAATCTTGTGTGTGGCTTACATTTACAGTGTATTTCAAGGGTTCCATAACCATGGATGCCTGTGGCTGTCACACTGGACTGCATGGCTCTATATGTCTGTGGTGCTGCTGAGGCTGGCTGCTCAGGACACCACCAGCACCGCATATGCAATTGCCCTGGAGGCAAAGTGCAGTCCACACACACACACACACACACACACACAGAGTAACTATTTGTGAACAGACAAAGTCTAGCCCAGAAGTTTCAGACTGATAGCTCAGAGATGTTTAGTTTAGTATTCTCAGAGTTTGAGCTAATTGCTAACTTTAAAATATCAGGATATTTCATTAAAAAACCTGAATTTATGACTTCTAAAAAAATCATAAAATAGAGCAAGCCTAGACCCACAGTCCCGTTTGGCAATAGTCTTCTGGCCCTGCATAAAGGCTGTCCCCTTTAAAATTTTTTCTTAGTAGGCATGAATTTCTTTTCTAGTAATAACTTTTTAAAACTACTGCTGTTGAACAAAGACAAATCCATTTTAAAAAGGACCAAGTGAAGTGAAGGACTGAAATAAAAATTTATCAGATCAACTGGCTAGTGTAGACCACTAAACTGAATAATTCAGACCTCTTAATCCTCCTACTCACAATAGTTTATTTTAGAAACTCAAAGTAAATGAGTGTTACAGAATAAAAATGAACAAAAGAATGATAAATTGTAAAATAATACCCAAATTTCAACTGGATCGTCAAGTTTTCCCTTCAAAGGCCACATCCATTCCCTCACAGTGGTTCCTTTTTTGCTGAGCATCATGCCTCCATCCTGATTAAACATCATTGATATTACTTGGCTATGAAAAAGACAGAAATGGGTCTCATTTAGAACACAAAATTTCATGGACTCATTGATTTGGCTGAGATGACAGACATCATCAGGTTACAGCTTTTAGGAGTATAGGACTCCCTTCTATCACATTCCTGGTGGGTGGTCACCGTGCCTCCGCCTGAATACCTTCCTTGAAGGGAAGGCTGGCATATACATCTCAGCAAGTCAAAACTTCCCTTCTCTGAGACACATCCCTTCCCATTCACCACTTCCCATCTACACTGTCATGGAAATGGGCTCTCCAGCCATGATTATCATGCCATGTGGTCCCGATGCCTTGGCTCTGGCTGATTGAATTGGGTGGACAGCTGACATAGAACTGTATTGCAACTGGATGCAAAAATACATATACAAAAGGCTATGAGGAAGGAGTTGAGCCCAGTGCACTCAAAGGACTGATAGAAGGTAGTGTGGCTAGCGACTTCCCTGATGGTCCGGTGGCTAAAAATCCTTGCTCCCAAAGCAGGGGGCCCAGGTTCAATCCTTGGATCCCCACATGCTGCAACAAAGAATTCTAATGCTGAATTTAAGCACAGCCTAAGAAATAAATATTAAAAATAAAAACAGTGTGGCTAGAGTCCAGAGTGGTGCAAATAAGGCTGGAGTGATTGGCAGGTAGTGACTGGATATGCAGGTATTCCTATGCTGTATCTTGAATTTTATCTTACAAGTAACAAATCACACAAGGGCTTAATAACAAAGCAATGAGGCGACATGATCAAACAGATTGGTGAGGAACCAAAGTAAATGCTGGGTACCAGTTAAGAGGTCATATCATTGGTCCATGAGAGAGGATGGCAGCTTGGTCTAGGGCAGGAGTGAGAGAGATGGATACACATGTGTATCTTCAAGAACCATCTAGATTTGGATAGATAGAATTTGTGCGGTGAAAAACAGGGAGGTGTCAATTTTATATTCCCTATACTTTATATGTCTATTAATGCAGTCTAGCAATTTATTATAGTATCTTTTCTGGATGAATAGCATCACACTATGTGTTCATGTCTAGACCTTCTTTGTGTCTTCCTTCTTCTCAGCATAGCACCTGGCACAGAGACGAAGTATAAATTGCACTGATAAAATGGATTCAATTAACAAATACATAATGGGCAATTACTAAATTCAAGATACTGTTTAGGGACTGTTACGTGTCTAGGGATGCTCAGCATGAGGTGATCTCACTGCACTCAGGAGATTTTCAG